TTTCGGGACGTCACAACTGGTGCCGTGGTAGATCAGGATAGAACGTCACAGTTGGCGTTGCGACCGGGGGACGACGTCACATCTCTTATCGTACCTAAATAATGAACTAATAATGTTATGCATTTATACGAGATGCATTCAAGAAGTATAGATACGTTTTTACGAGAGGCATTTATAACTTCGGTAAATTACTGTAATTTTAGTATATTACTACTCTACATATACTAAGCTGACCCACCAAGTTTTGTTATCCCAGACTGAAGGAGACTGCTGTAGCAGCTCTTTGAACGCACCCTACTAAACACTGCTTTTCACAGATGACTAATTTGTAGAATACAGTCGAGAAGTGAACGCCCGCTATCCAACAAAGTTTGCGTTGACGGAGATGTGCGTCAAATCTCTCACTACATTCAGGACCCTGTTCTTTATGACTTTTAGTTGTTACGTAACCTAAAGGACAACATCAGAGGTAATAGTTTTGAAGCGAACCGAGAAGATGTAGAATGCTATGACAAGTGTCCTGGGCAACTTCATTTCGAATAACATCAATGTAACTTTCACGAAGTGGCTGGGGTACTACAACAAGTCCTTTGAAGCCAGATGATCCATCTTGGAAGGAGATTAATATTTTTTTTACTTTATTGAAATTAATTAATGTCTTTCCTTAAAAAAAACCCTCAATACTTCTGGAATGCACCTCGTATATAGCAAAAGCATTGTATATGTATATGAGAGATAACTGAGGAATTATTGGTTCAACCATATCTCGAAACCTGACCAAAAGACAAATTTGAAACTATTTCTACAAGAAAAACATTCAGCAGTGCTTAATATAATAGCCACTTCTATATTCAATTTAGAAATCATCACAAAAGTTCTCAAGGAAGAATAGAACAATTTAGTATATGTATTAAGATGTAAAATAGTTGCTTACGCACTACTATAGTCTCGCTAATTTGGCTCATAAGGCAGTCAGCTTTTGAGGACAATTTGCGTAGGATTGTGTACATGTGCACCTATCGCCAAATGCCAACGAATATATGGAAACAACTTTTCTCTCGGATTGGTTATATTTGCTTCAATAGTATTATTTTCATCAAGGCTATTAATCCGTCCTGGGTATGACGATAAACTACATCCGACAGCAAGGCCTTTGATCAAGAGGTTTTGAGGAGCATGAAAGCACCTATTAATTGCTGGTGTTCCCAGGTCCACCCTGATCGGGGGTGGTAGCACCAGTCAGGATCCCAGCTATGGGCAAATAGTTAACACCCCAAAATGGGTCAAAAAACCATGAAAGTATAAAAATATGTTTTAATAACACCAATACTTTTTGGAAAAGTAAATTTTTGTAGAAGAAAAATATTACCAGCAATACATTTATTAAAAAAAATATATTACCAACAATATATTTTTGAAAAAATTATTATCAACACTAAAAATCTTGTCGGCATTAAATAAATCATATGCCGTAAACCAAACCAAATGAAACCAGGGCTATTTATTATTGGCAGTTGTAAGAAAGCTTGGTTTCAAATCATTAACAATGCAACTATGAAAAGTTATGTGTCATAAAACGAAAGAAATGAAAATTGACTTGATTAGCAGAACTTACTCTAATTTTAAACAATACATCTTTTGAGTAGAGAACATGTTATTTTTGTCCTGTTTGCATATTGACAATGATAGTGAATTTCGTTTTTTTTCGGATTATTAAATATTTGCAGGCTATTTAAAGTCAGATAATATTTTTAGATTTTAAGAATTTTTCTTATTTATTTTTGTTTTTGTTTCTAGATAATTATGAAACTAGTCATACAAATTAACTCATAGCTGTTCGGAAAAGAGGTGAATTCATACACTTGCCAAGGATATTTGTGCGTAAGTTAAAATAACGAAGCCGACTGGAATTGGAACTCGGTTCTCCGATTGACAAAGCCATGATTCATTACACCATCTGCACATCCAAGCTTACACCATCTGGTATTTCCAAGCGGTCACCCATCTTTGTACGGACCAGAGCGACGGACAAAAACAGAATGTGGTTTCTTATTTTCCATTTTAGTTCTTGCAGACTATAATCGGTCTTTGAAGATCTTCCAAAAACTGTGCAAAAGAGATCTATTGAAAAAGGATCTGGAACTAGAAATCTCAAAATACGTGGCTGATGAGGACAACGATGATTCTAATTGTGGTTTTTGCAATGATTGTGGTAAGAAAAGGTCCTGATAGACTCACAGAATTTAATAACTGAGAGCCCATGCCTGATTAGACATACAAAATCGTTCGCAAAAACAGAGCGTATTATATATATATATATATATATATATATATATATATATATATATATATATATATATATATATATATTATATTTTTGTAGGTACAAAATTTAATGATCGAAAAAAAGTGTAAAAATTTAATATTACGAGACATATTAAAAAAAAAAAAAACAACGGACGAAGCAACCGGTTTCGCTCCCTGCTCTTCAGGCTTCAAC